AAGAAGAAGACTAGGAATGGGAAGTGCAGCTATGAAAGAACTGGAAAAAATACCACAGAGCAAAGACATACAACTGAGCACTAAAGTCAGAATCGTTCAGGCCACTGTATTCCCAATGATTTGAACAACACTCAGTGCTTTCTTACAGTAAAACAGTACACGTTGGCTGCATCAACACTGCAGAAATGATCTGGTTTGACCCACTTTAACTGCCATGGCTCAGTGCTATGGAATTAAACAAATTACATTTCCCAGAATTCCACAGCATTGAGCTATGGCAGTTAAAGTGGGGCCAAACCAGACTATTTCTGCAATGCGGATGCAGACAGAGAGGAGACAGCCTTGAGGCAATCTATCATAGACAGCATCTCAAAGAGCAAGCTCAAATCATGGGAGAAACAGCAGAGGAGGCCTTACTAAAATCCATAAGACTCATTTTCCAGAATTTTAGCAGAGTCAAGCCTCTTCCAGTTAACTTCTATAATCACTAGCTAAGGGGCGCCTCATGAAAGATAAGAGGGCTAGACCCTTCTGTAATTTGTGCATGCACCTTGGTTAAAGTCACTTGTATTAGGACAAACCAGAAATTATTCAATTGTTTCCTCTGATGTGCACACTAGCCTAACAACATGAATATCTATGTAGCTTCTGAAATGAACATGCAGAAATTGCTCTTGGCTTCAATTATGGTTCTTATAAAGCTTTCTTCACTGCAAAAACAAAAGAGACGGGATACAGGCACTACAAAAAGAATACAAGGGGGAAGGCAGTGAGAGCACTCTCGAGCACCACTTACTCTCCAGAGTCCCCGCGTGCCTTCCTGCTGATAGATGTCTATGAAGCTTCCTATCATTCCTCCTTGGAACAGACTGCCCTGAGCCTGCATTCTGATCTAGAAGGAAGAGAGAGATCAGCAAGTGACTTCTGCGTCAGAGAAACAAACCAATAACGTTTCTGAAAATCTGAGAGCCAACCATAACCCAAAATACATATGAGGAGAATCAAGACACTAAGCACAAATGCCTCAAGCTCTTTTGGGGTAAGAGTACATGCCTACATAACTGACACACTCTCTCAAATTCTCTTGCCTGACTTAATTGGTCCTCAGTTCACGGCCCACAAAGGAGTCATGCTCTAAATTTAAGGTGGGGTTTATTTCCTCCCAATTAATTTTACTGGGATAATAATAATAATAATAATAATAATAATAATGATGATTATTTATATCCCACCCCTCTGCAGATGCAATCGGGGCGGCTTACAGCAATAAAACGTCACAATGTACAATCCCCAAAAACCCATCCACCCCTTAAAACAGTATTAAACAACAAGAATTAAAACAACACAAATAACAAACAATTTTACAACAAACAACAGCAGTTATACAACTAAAAAATTCATACTGGCAAGGCAGATAGCAGTACAATATGGCAAGGACTAAGGGAAGGAGCAAGCTCGCTCTTTAGGCCAGGAAGACTAATCAGGAAAGGCCTGCTAGAAGAGAGCCATCTTCACAGCTTTTTTAAAGCATGGTAATCTGACGGATGTCGTCTGGCAGGCCATTCCATAATCTGGGAGCAGTAGCTGAGAATGTCCTCTGGGAGACTGCAGACATCTTAGTTTTAATAGGCTGAAGCAAGTTCCTCCCAGAGGACCGGAGTGCGCGGGCTGAGCTATATGGAAGGAGGTGGTCCCGAAGATAGGCTGGACCCAAGCCA